TTCTTCTGGCTCGTGGGTCGTAAAATGTGTCAGCCCTGCATTAGTGCAGAACAGACTGAGGGTAAATGGATGGAGGAGGATTTGTGCATGTCTGTTCTCTGCTCTCTTAATCCAGCTTATAACACATGTATTCTCATTCATGTCGTCTTCCCTAGGCTGAGCCAGGTGCATGGAGAGGAGAAAGAGCAGTAAGCAGAAGCCACTTCAGTGTGAGGTGGATGTAAAAGCAGCATCAGCTCCCCAGTGTGGTGCTCAATGTATGGCACCAGTCCAGAGCAGTTGTTCTGAAGCTGCAGTGCATTTGAACCAGTCTGAGCTGCTGAGACTTCCTGTGTTTGACATTCCCACTGACCAATCAGGTTTGATGTCCTGGTATAAAGTTCCAGTCGGATGCTGAGTCAGCTCCGGCAGAAACCGTCATCTGATGAGTTCAACGGCACGGTTGTCGTTGGCAAGAAATCACGTCAGAATCATACGTCTTACAGTGGGAACAGCACCGAACAGCATCTCCAAATGTGCTCCAGTCTGACACGGAGTGAAGAAAGTTCAGTTTATTTTCCAAAAGTGTCTTTGCCTCAGCTTCATTACACAGCTCTGAAATTGCTCCATCAATCCTTGCTGCCCTTTTCCCCGAGGTGAAGTCAAAATATTCAGCTTTTCATTTGTGTTGCTCAATCAGCAGAGACGTCGTGTTGTACAAAAGCAGGAGTGTAGTCTCAGAGGAGGCGACAAGGGTTCTGCAGAGGAACCAATCAGTTCATACAGGAGGACAGGTGTTCATGTTGAACTGGAGCAGCAGCAGTTTAAGAAAACGTGGACCAGGAGTATCCAAACTTTCATTCAGTCTTTTTATTCAGGATAGCACTGCAGCAAATCCCAGTCCCTTGTTTGGACTCGTTTTATATGAAGTTTGTCCATTATAGTCGAGTGTTCTTGTGTAAATGCTCCTTCCGTGTAGAGTAACATTACCCCCATTTTATGAAGTGATTATAAATATTTTTTAGTCAATCTTAAAATTTCAGTGTAAGCCAATCAGAAGTAAAGACTGCATTGACACACCTGGAGAGAAAAAAAAAAACACTTTCAACTTCTCCACGTTGACTTGAGCCACGAACGTCAACGCATCGATACATTGTTTTTTTGTCATTGCTCTACTGTACGTGGTGTGATGGGGGGGCAGATAATAGAAGATGGAGAATCTGAACTGTGTCCCCCGTTAGCAACACTGCTAAGATCCCTCCCGCGGCGTCACCTCCTCTGAAGGACCATGTGTCCCATCTGTCTGCCTGTGGTTGATGTCCCGTAGAGGAAGTATCGGCGAAATCAGTCACAGCCCAGGTCCTACCTCAGCAGGCAGGTAGCAGTTCACCTCTCAGCTCAGCCTGAATTCCTCCAAATTGGTCTTTTCTATTTTAAGAACCACGGGAAGCAGTTGGAAGATGGAAATTAAGAGCAGAGATTCTCCACACGATTCCCTCTTGGTTTGGAGAATAGTGTTTTCTCACAACAGGGAGAAGGAAAGAAACTAATTTGATGTGTACATGAGACGAGATGAAAAAACCTGCAGTTCTGTCTGGAGAATACTTTATTTTTATGTCTTCATAAAAGAAACCAGGCTCAGGCAATCAAACCAGTTCATTCTGATAAATTAATGATTGTGTTTGTTGTTGTTTTGTGGATCTGTGTCTCATGTGAGAGGAAACATCTTCAGCATGACAAAATTATACCTCTGGGATTCCCACAAAAGGCACAAACTTTAGTTTACACCGTTTCATTTCTTCTGTGGAGGACATTTAAATATTAGTCAACGCAGTCCGACTGTTTATAGTTGATCTTAAAATACTTTAAACTCCATTATTTGAACTTTTGCCTCCGAAGATTTTTTTTTGTAATTTGAAATAATGATGTGATATTCAGGGATGTCAAGCAGGTTAATTTACTAACAAACAGACCTCAAATAGGAATGTAAGAAAATAGCCAACCACTGAAACATAATGATATTTCATTTCAGATCAGCATATCTCACTAGTGTCTGCCAAAACCTTCACTCTCAATGTTGTTGCTACCCTTCAGTCATAGATAACCCCAGGCACCTGTCTCCACCTACTCTACCCTGCCAACACCCTTGACTACAAACAACTGTGCATTTGAGATTGAAAACAGTGATTACACCTTCCATATTTTATAAATTTGTGTAAAAGAAACAACAACATGATGTAAGGACAGCCTGAGGGAACCATCACTTCCTCCTCCTCAACACAGTTCTAACAGTTCTGCGTCCCGTACATACACAGCCGTGTATTCTTACTTGATCTGATAAAAACACTCCACCTACCTGTTTTGGGATCCACAGAGAAATAAGGCTGTCCTTGAAGAATACTGTAGACTATTCTGGCACTGTTTCCATAGGTGGGGTCGTCGGCGTCGGTCGCAGTGACTTGGAGCACAGATGTGCCTGAAAATGAACACATTATCAGGATTATTCTTTTCCACTGGAGGCGCTGGATGTTGATCAGCTGATAATGGTGTGAGCTGATTGGATGTTGATCAGCTGATAATGGTGTGGTTTTGTTAGAAACGTGAGTGAGACTTTTCACCTCACAAATCTGAATGTAATAATTGCTGGGATCATTTTTGATACGCAGAACAGGTTTTCAGTTTTCAAACACGCACATACAGAATGTCGGCAGTGAAAATGTGTGAAGGAAGTCACATCTTTAAACAGAGATATTTCAGGCCTATAAACCTGATTAAGGCATTTTGAGTGAGTTATTTTTATCTAAAATCTTATAAAGCTATTTAAACTTTTGTTAAGCTGTATTTCCAGACACAGTGACTCTTCTCGATTATATTATTTAATAATATCCTTAGGTTTATCTCAGATTACTGTACAATTAAAAACCTGCAAAATAAATAATAGTTTGTCATGTAATAGATCACAACATCATTGTTACTCGTGGTTATCAATAACTCCATTAAAACAGCATTTCACATCAGGGTTTCTAAGCTGTAGAATAAAGACAGTTGTTGCTAAAGAAAACACAAGAGCATGAAGGAACCACACATACATAATACTGATGTTCACAGACCACGTGGAGCTCAGAGTGTGTGCAGTGTGTGCAGTCGGCCATGTCACAGAACAGGAAAATTACACCATGTTTTTTCTCCTGGTGATGTTGTTAATTCTGTTAGTAGAACGGTTCCTGGTTTTTCCACAGCAGAGGAGAAATAAAGCAGAAGCAAAAAGCGATACTTCATTATTTACTCTGGTATTTAAAAAAAAAATCCCATTTAAGAGCCGTTGTGTTTTAATTTAACACTTGGAGTGTTGCTCAAACAGTGTTACAGGCTTCATTAACCCATTATAATTGCTTGATGAGTGCACTGTAATTGCAGTACAAGCCAATATAAATGGATTTCTGTATGTAACAGCCAATATGCTAATGCTAGTTGACATACATTTAAGGGCTATGTTGTTTTTTTTTTTACTTTCACCTTTGGAATTTTAATAGAATTCTATAACCCTGTCTCTCTCCACGGTTTCAGGAGTGAAATGTCATCAGTTATAAACCAAGTCTCTCCAGACTCGGTCTGAGATTTTCTGAAATTCTTTTCAACCTTTCTGCAAAAATCGCTTTGGAAATTACAAAAAGAAATGAAAAAGATTTATCCAACTGTTGACAAGCAATATGTCGCATTTCCCACCGACAGATGGTCTCACAATGGAACTGATGATTTCAGGTTTAAATTAAAATCTTTAAACCAACACAAGAGCTGATTAAAATAAAATGATATAATGTAACAAAAACACAGTCTATCAACCAAAGTACAGCATAACGATAGCTTATATAAGCTAACGCTAACTAATTAACAACAATTTAGCGGTAATTATCAGAATTTAGATGTCACTTATGCAATAATGTGCAAAAATTTCTGATGTGTTCCTAAATCATGTCTAATATTTTAGCATTCAGACTGATTACAGACACTTTTGGTTAGTTTTTTGGCCACCAATCATTTTCTTTCACACCATTTTCTGAATTATTTTTCATTTTCGGATTGTGTTAAATTCCCTAAATGGTCATGGTTTGTTAAAAATATAAGTTTATTAATTAAAAATTATTCATTAAAAAAGAAAAAAAAAGGAAACGTTGCAGTCTGGAATCTTGGTTCAATCTTGGTTCATGTAGAGACGCCTGGACACTTTCTCTGCCTCAGCTCTAGTAAAACTCAATTATTCATATCTCTCCATCTAAACAAGCCGCCACACCAGCCTCAGGGAACTGAAACCACAATTAAACACTGGATTTTCCCAGAAGTGAGATGGTTGTCACGACGAGCTGAGCTTCCCTCATCTGAACGTCCATTTTCTCTCCAGCATCTCAGTCGAGAGACAAAGTAGCCGTCAGAAACTGGCAGCCCTTTTATCTTGCACTCAAGCAAAAAAAAAAACCATGAAGTAGATATGACATAAAGCTGGTTTACCTGTCAGGTTCTCAGTTAATCCTTTTAGAGAGGAAAAAGAATATTAGCACCAATTAGTTTGCACATCTCCAGCAGCTTCCCTGTGCACTGGGAGCTGTGGTATTGACAGATCGAGTGGAGGATTAGTGTGAGGACAGATGATTGTCACAGCTGGTTGAAGCAGCTGACGCACAGTAGTGGAGAAGGAACTGGTTTAATTGAAAAGAGCTGAAAAGGAGAGAGTTTATTAAAAAGAGCTAATTATTTTCCTCTTCACAGTCATTGGATTTCCTCCTCAGGTCATCGATGGAGATTGATTCTTGTTCTGTGCAACCAACGATAAAGTTTGCAGCGAGCGGTGGAAGTCTGTGTCCAACAGAGGCTGTTGGTTCATTTCATCATATTGGCTAGTTTTTTTTAAAGACAACTAGAGTGGAGTTTGGAAATTCATCAACGTCACGCTGACACACCAGAGCAGCTGCTACATGATGGATGATGAACTGTTTTTAATGGGATTTTAGATCCAGAGAAACCACAGGTTGGAGGACCAGGGTGGTGATCCGAGGATCGTCGGTTCCAGTCCTAGCCCACACTGGACTGTGGTGCGTTGAACAACCAGCAACAATCTCTCTTTTATCTAAGTAATAAATGGTGTTGATGAGTTCTAGTAGTTCTTATGAGCTCTGGTAGGTTACAGCATATTTAAGTAGGCCACGTTGACCTTAAAACCATCTCTGCTCTTCTACTGTAAGTGTCTCTTTTCTGTTCTGATAGTGATTTTGTTGGCCATTGAACTGTCCTTGGAGCGTTTTGAGCCAAAGATGGGTTTTTGGAACAGCTCTTTTAGCTTGTTTTCTACAGCTCTCACTCAGGTCATCAGACTGAAGCCTATTGAATTACAAACAGCTTAAACTCTCCTTGGCAGGAAAACATGGTTTTTGTGTGCTGTGAAATATAGCTTCACCGCTTCGGTTTTAGAGAAGTACAGGGCAGTTTTAATGGCAGCATTTAAAAGCCACAAGTTTCTGCTGAACTCCAAACACACACACACACACACACACACAAACACACAGTGAAAACCATTAAAATTCTCCTCCGATTAAGACATGAACAACTTATAGCTCACTTAGAAACAAACCCACTCCCCAGCAGGTTTGTGTGTGTGTGTGTGTGTGTGTGAGACATGTTGTGTTGATGAATATTCATGCAGAGATATCGACAGTTTATAAAGACAACTCCCACAGGTCTACTGGGGTTTGCATATATTAAATCTGTTCTGCACATTTCCATCTTCGTGCTGCAGGAAACCAAGGCAGTTGATTGTTTTCTCCACCACTGATATCCAGACTGATATCCACCTAATGTTCTCCACCCACAAAACCACTGTCTTCGAGTGTGTTTGGGGCTGAAATTGCAAGTGTCTGGACACAGTAAGTGAATATCATCACCTTCTCCGTGAGGTAGAATCTTCCAGGTTGATGATAGTGTGTCTTTTCTTCAGCAGTGAAAAGGAGAAATGAAAAATAGATGTTTTCCTCTCTCTCCACAGACGTGCACTGAAGCTTCTCTCCACATTATCAGTGGCAGGGACAAATACACACACTGTGTGTGTGTGTGTGTGTGTGTGAGTGTGGAGACTCCGTACGGAGGGGTTTATAAAGTCCAGCCCAGAGGGAGAGAATCACTGCGCCCAGAAAACATAGATGAAAAGAGCGAAGTCTGCTGGATCAGAGAAGATCAACCACTGAAGAACCTGATCAGAAGCAGCCACACGGGTTAATAAGATGTTTGATCCTGGGCTTCAACACTAATGCCTTCTTCTGAGGCGGTTTCAGCTGTGAGTACAACCGTACTGTACACACAGGCTGAAGTCACAGCTGCAGTGGCTCCTGTGTTTCCTGTTGTTACTGTGGACAGAGACAGGAAGGACTGAGAAGAAACGCGTCACTGCGGTCGGTCCCATGTCCAGGTGTCCACCAACCACACAGGGACATCGTGGAGTTTTTGTTTATTAATATGTTCTGAAACAAATCGGTTTGTAAAAAAAGTCACAAATGAGAAAATAACAGGAACAATTGATGGTTTGTGGCACCATGAAAAAAAAAAAAACAGACTGCCTGTCTTAGACAAGGACAAGTGGAAAAAGGAGTGTGTTTCTCAGTCGTCCTGGTAATTAAAGGACAACTGGACTGACCTGGGTCTAATTGACTGCTGGAGAATTCTAGTATTCAGCCTCCGACTGGCTGGACATCAGAGATCTAAAAAAAGTAAAAACAGTGACCATACTCTGATCTTGTGATCTCCAGGGTCATGGGTGTGAATGGGTGTGAATGGGTGTGAATAGTCATGTGAGTAACCTGGGATGTTGTTATCACCTAAGGGACACAGTTGTCTTTGTGTCCCCTGGAGTCTGTCTGTGTTGTTTGCTGAGTGAGCGTGACACGATGTCTTAATCCACTTCCTCTGTGGAGCGACGGTTTCTACTGGTTGACAGAGATGGCTTCATTCACTGCTTTCAAACCACCTGCCTCTTTGAGAATGTACATTTCCAGCAGCATAAGTGTGTCCTTTGTCCTGAGATATAGGTGACCAGTTGAGTCCTGGTCTGAAGAGTCGGCTCTCCTGCCCCTCAACCCCCGACCCCTTCATCTCAAACCTCAAATACATAAATAAATCAACAAACATCAACCTCAGGATTCTGTTTCCTGTTTTCATATCCCAGCTTTACTCACCCAGATCAGACATCTCCGGTACCGTAGCTGCGAAGGGACCATTTGGAAATTTGGGAGGGTTGTCGTTGATGTCCTGCACTTTGATGATAAACTCTGACTTTGGCTCCAGAGCATCCTCTGTGTTGCGATCCAGGGCTTGTGCATGCAGAACGTAATGCGTCTTCCTCTCCCGGTCCAGACTCTTAGTGGCATGAATATCTCCAGTCACCTCGTCGATGATAAAAATAGTTCCGGCTCCTTCTCCACTCAGGATGTACCTGACGGATCCGTCGCCTTTATCTGAGTTTGAGTGAAGCTACAGGAGAAGGAGAAACAGAGAGTGGAGCTGTGAATACAAAGAAGGTACTACCACAGTAGGTAGGTAGGTACTGTGGACACATAGTAATGAGGACGGGTGTAAGAATACATGGATACATGGAAATATTTCATTTCACCATACAGTATCAATCTCCTCCTCCATCAGTTATTGATTTTTTCTCACCAATTCCCAGTCCAATATTCCTGGTGTTGGTTCATGTTTTTTTCTTTTCTTTCTTCTCTAGTGATTCCAAATGTAGATCCCTCTGTTCCAGTGTTAGGAACTGATGTTCAGACTAGGATCACACTGGGACTACAGCTACACTGGGGGGAAAAAACCCTGAATATATTGTGCCTATAGTATATTGCAATACATCATATTGTTGCCCCTGTATCGCGATACGTGTCGTATCGGCAGTTTCATGATGAAACACAGTTCTAGGAAGGACATGGAGCTAACATCTGTGTTTGTGTTTATTATTCTGTAGTTTGTGAATAAAATGAAGAACTGTTCCTTATAGTCTTGGAGAAGATAATCGTGACAAACACATTGAGTTCCAGATATGGGCCAGATTAATTAGATTATGTGTGCAAATCCCAAAAACCTTCTTTTTCTACTGCAGGCAGTCAGAGAAGAAAAAGTGCTGGCATCCAGTCACAGAGAACACAGCGAACCTAGATGTTTGTGAAGTTGGAGAAACTGTACAGAAGTACTATATGGTCCGAGTCAGAGAAATTCAATATTCTCCTCTCAGACTGGGCTGAATCCAAACGCTGCTGCACAGAAGCATCTTCACAGATGAAAGCTTGTGTTGAAAAGACTTTTTAAGGCAGTGTCTCACCAGGAGACGGGAAGAAACAGAAAAACTCTGCCACTAAACTCAGCCATAATTGATACTAGGAGGATTCAGGCTTTCATTCCCCCAAATCTGCTCAGCATGGTTTAGGTTGGAAAGTTTTAAACTGGTCTTTAAACTACTGCAACATCTTCATTTCACATCTCCATGAATAAAACATGTGCCAACAATGTTTTTTTTTTCATTGTCAACACAACCATCCTATTGTTCACATCACTGTCTGCTCACAGTCTGTCGGATGGTTTTGTTTGTGGACCAATGAGCTGTAAGACGCAGAGCCGTGAACCAGGGATCGTCTCTGTCTGCCTTCAAACTCAGACATTAAATGAATAATTCAGTCTGTATGCAGATGATGTGTATTTACTCAGGCTGTTACTGTAGAGTTCAGTCTGGAGCAGCGTTGATTCACACACACGGAAGGAAAGAAAGAAAGAAACTTGGTCTTTGTTTTCTTTCATTCAGTTTCAGACTTTCACAGGATCATTAGTAACAAAGTATAAAAATGTTCAACTCAACAAGAACCTTTAAATATCACTAATTCAATGTCATTTGATGTGGAGTTATCTCATAATACACTGTCAGAATTAACCTTTAGACTTCAGTTTTAAAATGAATCGTTCACATGAGCAGAATGACCTCACGGTCTAATACTAACACCAACCTCCATCACCAAGTTCACATGAGCAGAATGACCTCACGGTACATCCAATAATACCAACCTCCATCACCACTACACAGTCCATACACATGTTGTTACACATGTTATTAACAACACTGCAGTGAACGGTTTTAGTTTCACTGAATCTCCTGGATCTTAAACATCCCATCATCAACTCCCAGCATGTGTCTGTGGAGTGTTCAACCTCTGGTCAGGGGCCCAGCTTGTGTCAGAGCAGCCAGACTCAGATCAGGACAGTCACTCAGTCTGACTGACACAACAACATCAGATGGACTGTTCAGGACTGTAGACTGATTAATGTTGTTGAGGACAACAAATATTTTGAAAAAAAAAAAAAAAATCCCCAAACAGCTGGAACTGAAACATTAGAAATAATTACATATAATTGATGTGCAGTGCAGACTAAATCAATTATTTTAATTTATTCTTTAAAAAAGTCAGATTTCACAACTGCACACAATGTGAAAACGGCAGCAGACGTCCAGAGGCAGAGTAATTACAGTCCACTTCTCTGAGTGCGACATGGACGTGTCCACTTCCTCTGGGCAGCTCCACACTGCCCCGGCTCCAGCCACGCAGATGGAACTCTGCCTGGAGTCGGAGCAGTCGTTTGGCCGTGGCCTTCCTTGGTGAGAGCCAATAAATCAAGATCCTGCAGAGTGTGAACCAGTGATGCATACGCTCATTGCTGCTGTCCAAAAATCTATGGCCGATACAAGTGCCAACAGGTTGCAGACCATTACACAGGCTTCACGGGCCGAAGGAGCGGCAGCGTCCGCTTCAGCCAGAGAGAACACGACAGGACAGAAGGTTCAGATCAGATGATGAGGTGATGAAGATGTGAAGAGTCTGATTCTTTAAAAATACAAAAAAGATTTTTTCACAGGTCGACAACAACAAAACCCCCCAAAATGTATGTGCTATAACAGAGCACATACACTGCTAACAGTACAAATCCTGCCAGTATATACAGGCTAAATACTGGCGAGCCAACTCCAGTACGGCCAAATATCACTACACTGCGAGCCAGATTTGGCCCACGGGCCTGAGTTTGACACATGTGATCTAGTTCTTCTTTAACAAATCCTGCCAAAACCTCTGAAGTCTCTGTGCGACAGACGGGCCGGCAGCTGCCAATGCATTTGTGAGGAGGATGACGTCATCTGGAGAGCCCGTACACACACTGGAACACAAACCTCAGGGTGAGACTCCATCCTCTCTCTGACAAATGAACAGGATGTGACGTGGAGCTCCGGGTTCCTCAGACTCTTCTAGTCCTGTTTGCTGATCTGTTCATCTCCACGTTTGTGATACCGACGTTTTATTTTTCATAAAAGTATCTTCATCTGAGTGTTTGTGGAGGCGGCACATGGAGAAGATGAAAACATTCCTACACCTCTTACTGATTAAGCCTAATTGATAATTATAATCTAATCTACTGCCACAGGAGGTTTTCTTCACCTGATCCAGTCTGGAGCTGGAGTTCAGCCCCAAACTGATATTTTCTGTTGATTTTTTGCTCATTAAATGCATTTACTCTGAATCTGCTGCAGCTCAGATTATTTCTGTCCTGTTTGAGGGAGTTGAAGAAAATGACGTACAATTTCTGAACCTGATTTATTTTTATTTTTTTCACAGAAAATACCCATTTCCTGCAAAAGGAAAAGGAAGCAGTGGAGAACACGAAGTGAAACACAATCTCCACAATCAGAGCAGCCGAGGTGAAAATCCTGTGCTGAGCTTCTTCCTGATTTGATATGAGTTGCTGCTCAGTTTGACCTTCACCTGGGCTTGTTTTCCACACACCTCCTTGTTTTCTCTTCCTAAATACCTTCTCACTCACCAGATCCTGATAATGTATGTGCCCGCTTGTATTACATTACTGCTGCATGTACTGACCTGTGTGTGTGTGTGTGTGTGTGTGTGTGTGTGTGTGTGTGTGTGTTCCTGCTCAGCCTTGATTTCCCTCCTGTGCCCACTCCTTTCCTGCTGCTCTGTTTCCTGATGATCAGCTGAGGTGTTGGCTGTTCATTGATCTGTTGACTGCGTTCTTCATATTCGTAGCAGCTTTTTTTCTTTCTTGTCTTGTGTTTCTTTGGATGTATGCAACTTAGATCCATGGTGTGTTCTAATCTAGTTTGACTTGGTTTGATATGTTACTGTATGTGGTGATATGTTATAGTATGTTATGGTTTACTACGGTATGGTATATGTTGGTAAGTTCTGGTAGGGTATGCTATGGTATACCCTACACTTCTCTGTGTGATGTTGTAAACCCAGGGTGGAGTCCTTGATTTTCCCAGTACGTCCCTCTGTAGTTTGAATATATCACAGTTTAACGTCTTGGTACAGAGACTCGTCTGTGGAGATAACCAGCTGCACAGCTGCTGAGTGTGAGGACATTAATGCACCGTCTCCTCTCTGCTGCTGGAACATGGTCAACATCAGGCCACACACACACACACACACACACAGGTAGGCTACAAATAGCTGAACATGCTTCACTACTCACTCTGGGTTTGTGTGGTTGTGTGTGGTTGTGTGTGTGTGTGTGGTTTTCCACTGGTCTTATTATCAGTCTGACTTTGGACAAAGAGCAGTGACATTTCACTTTGTGTTTCTTCCTGAAAAATTCATCAAACCTGCATCACGTTGGCGTCGGCGGCAGCATCACTGATGCATAAAGGTGGCAGACAGAGAGTGGAGCATTTCTACTCCGTCAACAGAGTGAGGAGAGTTGGGGGAAATGGCGGGAAGTGAGGGGAAGGAGGAGTGATCAGAGCCCCAGCTTCATATTTGTAATTAGTGCAGGGAGGTGTGGGTTGGTTTTTGATTAAATCTGGGCTCTTACACTCCACTCAAGAGAAGTTAATCACGTTTTATGTGGGCATTGCTTGATTGTCTGATTATTACCACATATCACCAATCAGCTCCTGCCTGCGCCTCCTTCCCGGGGATTGATTTGTTGCAGTCACGCTGCAGCCTGATGATGGAAAAGCAGCCTAATGACCATACATCCACAGACAGCCAGGAGAGGGAGGGTGTGCTGAAGTGATGCTCAGACACCGCCCCTGTCCTTGTCCTCTGTTTTGTCTCCTAACGAGGGGAGCCGCAGAATGAATGGTTGTCGACCCCAACGGGACGCCCGTCTTACACTGACTTCAACTGATGTACAGTAATGAGATTATTAGAGGCTCCCAGAAGCCATTCTTGACACCGCTTTAATGTCGTGGCGTCTAACTGCTGCTGCTGCTGCTGCTGCTGCTGCTGCTGCTGCTGAAATGTAATACGTGAATCAGGCAGGATTGGAACATCTCTTCAGAACGATGTAGGAAAAACACGACGTTCCTGCTGCTGTTCCAGTTAGTCAAGACAACTGTGTGATCTCAAATGTCCAAAAGGGGACGATAAAATAAATAACAATTCTCACCTTAAAATGAAGCAGATGTGACATTTAAGGACTTGTTCCAGAGATGTTCTAAGTCTTAAATGACTGACATGAACGTCCTGCCGTTAGTTGCAAATCTTCTGGTCTGGACCTGGTACTAATGAAGTGAACTGATGTCCTAACAACTGTCGCGTCGATAAACAGTGATGAACATGACTCTATGTCCACGCTGACTTGACCGCAGAACAGTAAAGAATCCGTTAACTTTTAGTTTCTCTTTCACTTCACCAGGCGACTCAGATATCCTTGTACATTCCCATTTCATTTCATGAGATGAAGAAAAAACAAACATTACACAGCATTTATTTCTTTGCATTTCTACTCATCCTTTCTTCAGGAAAATCAAACATTGTCGAGTAAAAACATTTTAATCTCTGACTAAATAATGACTGAGCCTCTTTAATCAGAGGCTGTTGGAACAAGTCGGAAAAACACGCGCACCAGAAAAATCTGTAGCTACGAACGGAAGGCTTAAAATACCGATCGCCAAGAATAAAAATAAAAAGGCCAGGAAATGAATGGAGTTGTCAATGACTGGACACATTCATGTTCTGACCTTTCTGTTTAAGAAATAATGTTTTTCCGCCTCGCTTGATAACAGCGTTTAGAAAAGAAAGTAATAATATATTTGTTACATGTGAGGGTTGAGTGTTCAGTGGCTTTAAAAAGTGTTCAGGTCTGTGTGACATGATGGAAAACAGCACGTGATGTTTTAACAGCAGTGGAGTTCTAAAAAACGCTCCCAGAAAGACTCCAGTAAATAAATCATACACTTCCTGTCGGTCCAAAAGATTTTCTGTTCATACTGGTGGTACACAAAAAATGGGGTCTTGGTTACAGGTTCTAATCCCCACCGATGCCACTTGTCAGTTGTGTACTGTTGAGGGATGAGGGGGAACCTGTGATTATCTCACTGTAAGGCCAGTGTATGAACCGTATCTGCCACCGTGTGGGCTCTACAATGACTCAGATATTTCAGATCAGTCCCTGGAGTGTAAACACCAAGAGTTGTCTGTCAGTGTCGTTTAGAACTGCGGAAGCTTCCTGAAGAAACCTGAGACCCGGACGACGGAGAACCTTCACTAACACTTAGGAAACGGGTCTGTGACGACGAGTCGTGACAGGAGGAAACACCTGTGGCTCCACTGACATCGGGGTTTTGATGAGGACTGTTGTGTTTTCACTTTTTTACAGTCAGAAAGTCGTGGAACTGCTGCCATTATACAGTGCATTTCTGTCTTCACCTGTCCCCCCCAGCTCCCCCGCCCCCCATGGCCCAATATTTCTGAGAAGTGATGATTTTTTCATGCACAAACAGCTGACTTTTTCATCTTCTCACAGTTGAAGTGTAAACACCAGGAGACAGTTGCCTGATTCTGTCACTGCACGTTCTGTTTTTAGACGCATGAATAAAACATTCCTGTGCCCTTCCTGGAGGTTGGAGCTTTGCTCTGCAAATTAACACAGAATGAGAGACGAGGATTTTTCCCTCGTAGGTTCTGAGAGGGAGCGCTCATTCTGTCACCGCTCACAATTTTCATTATAAATGTTCACAGCAGCCGGTAAAGGTTCAATTCACCCAGTTTCTGACCGAGGATCTGCTTCTGTTTATCAAACGGTTGCCCCACATAAACCCGGCAGAGTCACCGCCGACGTGTCACCGCTGCAGCTCAGGTTCCGCTCCCACCTTTGGGGGATTTTGGTCGTCCTTTGAAAACCTGTCATCCGGGCTGAAACCCGAGGCTGATTCTTCAGAGCGTCACGTTGAGCTGACTGACATGAAGACTTTCACACCTCACATTTGGCAGAACGACTCGTCTCCTGTCTCATATCTGGACCAGTCCTGTCCTCTGCCAGGCATTTGAGTCTCACTCATGCACAAAGCTGTCATTTCCTAAATGCATCACCCGGAAGGTGTCACCGGGGATTATGGGATACGTCGCAGGGGATTAAAATGTTCTTGACACATTGGACCATGCATTTATTCTAGAAGTTATTTTTTTCTGTCTGCTGGTTGACATATACGTGAGGAAAATTTAAAAAATATTTCACACCGAGCTGAACGATGGATCTCGGTTCGACTCCAAGGTCTCTTTATACGGTGGAGAGAATCCGGTAAATTTTCTAAAATAAAACATTGTTCATCTTTCAAATCTTTCAAATCTTTACTGTATGAGATAGTGTTTCATAATAAACTGGTTTTGTGCCATGGATAAACCTAACATTTTATTTTGTGTCCACTACTATGCTATTCAAATATGTCCAAACTAAAAACTGAACTCTGGGGGTCACTGACCTTGGATTTTAAAAAATGCTTCAGACCTAAACCTGAAAAATTGAGTTTCAGGGAACCTCAGAATCAAACTGGAAACAACAAAATTAAAAATTGAAAAACTTGACTTTGTTTTTTTGATCCCTGTTCTTGGGCTCTGACCAAACTGGGGACTTGACCACAGCCCTGACTGTTGTTCCTTCAGAACATCACATAACACCAGGTGTGGTGTTGATGATGTGGACACCTATAGAATGATTTCACTTCCCTGCAGTGGAAACACTCGTCTCCAGTTTCACTGACCACACTTTTTAATCCAAACAAGTAGAAGAGTGAAAAAAAAACCTGCTGCTCAGTGCATGCTGGGAACATTAATCCTCCTCCTCCTCCTCCTCCTCCTCCTCCTCCTCCTCCTCCTCTCCTGTCTGTGTCTAATTAAGGGTCATTCTGTCTCTTGGCCACATTAGGACCCAGCACAGCAGTCCCAGCCCACATAATTAAATGTTTTTATTGTGTTTGTGCGTGTGTGTGTGAGTGTGTGTTTGTGTAGTAACACCTGGAGACCTGGACTCTTTAAACATGCATGTCAAATGCATTCCTTAATCATCTTTATGTTTCCTCTCAGAGCTGTAGTACCGTACAGGATTAGCTGTGAGTGTGTGTGTGTGAGTGTGTGTGTTCAGTATTCAACATCATCATCATCATCTGCTCTAACACACACACACACACACACACACACAGAGGAGGGACAGCCTAAGGTAGAAGTGGAGCAGACCATTCTCTCTGTCAGCAAAGCAAACAGTCTGATCTTCACATCCTCCTGTGAATTCACTGTTGAATTAATCACAACGCTGTTCAGTTTGCTGCAGAAAATCTCTGTCTCCACCGTAAAACTGACAAACACACTCAGAGTTCTTATTTATTTATTATTTATGGCACTGTTTAAGGACTATAAAGCCTCCCCCCCCCCCCCACCCCCCTCCCACACTAATACTACAGCTGGAGGTCCAGGGGACCAGGGAACGTCGACAACCACAGGGGGTCCTCGGTTTACGATGTTCTCGGTTCATGGCGTTCATATTTACGTCACTACGTCCCAATCTAAATGTATTTAGAAAGTTTTATTCCAGCGGTTCCCCATTGTTTTAATGTGAATTTTGTCAATATTTCATTTGTTTGTTTTAAAGAAATATATCTGAATGTACTTGTATATAATTCACTTATGTTTCTTTGATGGTTGATGTTAACGTTCACTGATTCTCAGACCTCTGATAAAGTCTCGTCATCTACTTACAGAAGGAAATACTATTCAAAAATACACATCAATGAACTTGTTACTACATTGTTGTGACACCGTAGTTAATAAAACTCATGTCAAAATAAAATGTGGATTTTATCTGAAAAGTGTTTTTTTTTCCTCACCCCTCGTCTTCACTGCATGTCATCCCATTTTCCTGTCTTTCTTCTTCTTCTCTCTAATCAAACAGAGCTGTTGTTGAACAACACACATGTGTGAGCACCCCCCCCGGCCCCCCCACCCCCCCTGCCTTCCTCGGTCCCGTTCTCTCCGAGTGCAGTTGAGAGGATTAGTCTGTGCCTGAGTGCCTGGAATAATGATCACTGCAGCGGAGAAATACATTTTCACATTTCAGGAGATAAGAGCGACCAATCTGCAAGCAGAGGATTTAAGCAGCTCCCCGTGGCTTATTGTGGAGCTAACAGAAAAGTCTGCAGCCAACAACCACACTGCTGCAGCATTCAGCCCTGCACCAGCAGCAGGAACACCCACCAATATCTGTCTCCACTGCCAGGCCCATCATTCACTCCGAAATGATACGGAAAATTGCATTCATAAAAGTTTCTAACTATGGGACAGTATGTCCCTGTTGGACTTCTCTCCAATTTCCTTTTGTGCTGCTTCATTTCCTACAAAGAAACCAAATTGGGCTTCGTTTCTCAGCATGAAACCAAATCTAATATTTCACTTCAAAAATCATTTCTCACTTTCAAACCTAATTCGCTGCAGCGTTTTGGTCCCAGAGTGACAGACATGGTGGGAGGCTCGGCTGCAATTACTGAGAATTTAACATTTTGGACGTAGAAATCAGTCAGACTGTGTAATGACAGACATAAAAAAAATGAACGGGCGAAGAGAGAACTTCACAAATGAGAAGTGCCTCTGAACATCAGAAGAACAGAAGGCCGTGAGAGCCCGTCAGTCAAGAGGATACATCTCTTACCTTTCCAACGTACTGAGCCTCTGGTCCCATGTGTTCTTCTAAAACGAAGAACTGGTTCCAGATCCAGCCACGTTTCGGTCTGTGGTGCACCTCCGTCTCCCCGTTGGCCAGTTTGGTCTGGTTCTTGGAGGCCCCTTTGGCAGGAACATGGTGACTGGCACCAGAGCTTCTCTGGAGGAAGCAGAGGCAGACCAGAAAGGGGCAGAGACAGGAGGTGGTAGATATCCTCATGGTGGCACGGAGGTTTTTGTAAAGTTATCCTCGGGTTATTCCACGGTGGGGGGGATCAAACCCACCAACGCCGCAGGACTCCAACCACTACCACTGGACGGCGCTGCAGGCACAAGTAAAAGACGGGTCTAAATCCAAACCAGGAAAAGTGTAGTTCCTGTAGCTCCTCCGAGAAACCTTTACATTCTGGAATTCTGCAGTTTGTGAGAAGCTTCAAAGTAGGAAGTGATCTTCTGGTCGGTTCAACCAAACGTACAGGTTAATCCACAAAGCCATTCTGAACTTCCTGCAAGAGACAGAGAGAGAGAGAGAGAGATTTGCTCAACGTTGTCCTTTTTACAGATATATGATATGAAATAAGATAGAAATTAAAAAGTACCATCGAAGGCAACACATGGTATAAAATGATTCATCTTCAACAGTTTCCTTCATTTCAAGCATTTATTCATCGTCTCGTGCTTCATCATTTGCATATTACTGAACGACAACTGAAAAATCCACAGAGTGCAGACCCTGAATTCTATACAACGGGTCAAAGGTCTACGTGCTGCAGGGCCAGCCCGACAGTGTCTGTGGGCAGACTGGGGTTCTTAGCACAGAAGATTATAATAAATGTGGCGACAGAAAAACACACATTGACTATGATAAGGGCAGACATCCAGGCGCTGAGTCGTGGAGCAGCCGCGCTGGTTTTTACGAAGGCAGCGAGACGGAAATGACAGAGGAAAACAGTTTTCTAAATCAAAATTACATATTGAATGTGGCGCTGAAGCAGTGAAGGAATAACCACTTTTCTTGTTGAATTTCTCTGTTAGTGAGCACTGGGGTGAAGCTGCGCTGGTCCCAGCTTACCCCTGCAAGAATGTGTGTGTGACACCAGTGAAACCGCCGCCGTAAAGACGCCATTATGGGGAGTTAGATGTTGTTTAAGTCCTACTGAAGCATGAAATGAGTCTTCACTGCTCACTCTTTAACATCCACTCTGCTGAGGAGAAACCACGTCATCCGACCACACGGATGGGAGATGGACGACCTTCAGTCTGTGACCTGAACACACAGAGTCTCTGAGAGGCCCAATAGGAACCCAGTGGGTTCTCCAGGAGGAGAACCAGGTCTTTTCTAACAGAGTAATGACGAAAATAACCGACTCTTATCGTCCCAGTTGATCTGATGTATGAAGGGTAGAATTCCCAGCTGTGTGGAGATGATTGTAGAGGAGTGAGCCGTGTTAAAACCAGACATCGAGGCAGCAAACTTAACGCACACACTTTGAAAGATTATCACTGTATTTTATCCCAACATAAATATTGCCATATGTGGATTAGGAAGTACTTACGATCCTCTGACTAATCCCTGTGTGTGACACGTCCCTACATCCAAATTAGGCAGCTTAGCCATATTTGTTATTGATGTTGACTCAGTGCTGGGGCTGTAATGGGCAGCTGTTCTCTCAGACTGGGGTAAAAAAAAAGAAAAAACAGGCTGAATCATCTCCACAGTCAGAGACATGAACTGCAGGTAAATGAAGCTCCAGTTCCTGTCCCCCGGTCTGGTCCAGTGTGACTGAGGAAATGACTGCACCTGAGTCAGACTGAGTGTCAGGATGAAAAATATGGTTGCAGTGGTTTCACTTTACCCCCCCCCCATCCCCCTCCCCCCCATGGCTCTCTTCAATCACTCTCCTAATTGTCAGATTATCATGCTGATTCCAGGCAGAACACCTCCAGGAGGCTGTGAATTCAGCAGCGTCAGTGGAGGTGACTTCGCTTTCTCTGCTCTCATTTGGACGACACTGTTTCCAGCTGCCGTCTGCCGCACCCTCTGAGCGACACGGACCTGCAGAGAGGCAGCTACAGAGGAGACACACC